CAATGGGTTGCAGCCCTTTGCCGAAATCCTGTAGAAGGACGGCACCGATGGCGAAATCGCTGGCGTCCGTGATGACTTCGAACGGTCGAGATGGGTCGGCGAGGCGGAGGTCAGGGGGTGAACTCAAAATGTTTTTGAGGTCGTCGAAAGCCAACTGTTCTCTCTCCCCCCACTGAAAAATGGTTGTGTTGTGCAGGAGGTCGGTTAGGGGTGTGGTCACCCCCGCCATATTGGGTACAAAGCGGCGGACGTAATTCACGAATCCCAGGAAACTCTGCAGCTCGGTGATGTTGGTCGGTGGTTCCCACTTAGCGATTGCGTCCACCTTGCGAGGGTCAATTTTAATGCCTTCTCCCGAAACCACGTGCCCCAGGAACTCTAGCTCCGACTTTAGGAACTCGCACTTAGAGCCCTTCGTAATGAGCCGATTTTGCTATAAGCGCCGGGACACCTCCTCCAGATCCTCAAAATGTTGTTCTTGCGTCTTGCTGTACACCAGGATGTCGTCGAGGTAGACGATTACTTTTTTATCCAGCATGTCCCGGAACACCCCGTTCATGGTCAGCTGGAACGTCGAGGGCGCGTTTGTCAATCCGAATGGCATCATGGTGTACTCGTAACTACCGTAGCGTGTGCGAAAAGCGGTCTTCGGGCAGTCGTCGGCGAACACGCGAATTTGGTGGTAGCCTCCTCGCAGGTCGATTTTCGAGAAATAGCGAGACCCGCGAAGTTGGTCCAGTAGGTCGTCCGCTCGCGGGATCGGGTAACGCGACTTTATCGTGACCCGATTCAGCGCCCGGTAATCAATGCACATGCGTAGGCCTCCGTCCTTTTTCGGCGTGAACAGTATTGGCGCTGCGAATGGTGACGTGCTCGGCCGGATAAATCCCTTGGCGAGGAGGTAATCCAGCTGGCTCCTCAACTCGTCGAGCTCCGGTTGGCTGAGTCGCCACTGCGTTTGAACAGTAGGTTGCGCGCCGGGTTCCAGCTGTATCTTGTGATCTTCTGGTCGCTGAGGTGGAAGCCATCGGGTAGGTCATCCGCGAAAATCTCGGGATACTTCCGGATGATGCCTGCCAGTTCCGCAGGGACTGCCTCGCAGAGCTTGTCAATGTCGGCGACTTTTTCGGTGGCTGCTGCCTCGTACAGGTGTACGGCGTAGCCTCTGGCCCCCTTGTTGATCGCTCGCCGCATGGTGACGGCGTTGACACGTGTCGTCACAAGCTCCGGGTCCGTCCATGTCGGAAGTGTTGTCTGCCCTGTATTTCCTCGCACAGTGCATGCCCCCGTTGTCCAGTCGATCGTTGGATTGAATCGTTGCAGCCAGTCTCGCCCCAGCAGCACATCGCAGCCGTCCAATGTTGTCGCCAGCATCTTCATGCCGAACCCGAAATTGTCGCCACATTTCATCCGAACTTGTCGCGCTTCATCTCGGATCCCCAGCGGTGTTCCATCCACTAGCCTTGCGTCAATCTCCGGCAGACATCTGTCCAGCTTTACCCCAATTTTTTTGGCTGTTGACAGGTTGATGAGGCTGTGACTAGCCCCACCGTCAACAAATTTTTTTATTTTATGGCCGTTAACCCTCCCTACTGCCAGCACAGGGTGGTCCACGTGTTCACCCACGTTATTCGTCCGATTGCGGTCGATTGCTCGGATCGGTACCACAACTCGGTGTGGATGGTGATTGTCGGGCGACAGGGTCTCGTCAGCAGGGCGCCCGTCTGCTACTGACTCGCATCTTTTCCCGACCCTTCTCCGTCGTTCCTTTTCCCCTGCTTCAGCTTCGGGCAGTCTCTTTTCAGGTGGCCCAGCTGGTTGCATGCAAAGCACGGCCCGATGGGTCGGCTTGGCGCATCCACGCCATTGATCGTGGGCTGCTGCGTCGATCCACGAAATCGAGGGCCCTCCCGGGAGCTCGATCTCGCCCACTGCATCAGTGCATCCGTTGACTCGGCTTCCCGGACAGCGTCGTTAAAGCTGCATGGCCGCGTTCGTCGGACCTCATATTGAATTTCGTATTTCAGGCCCGCCACGTAGCGATCCATCCGCTCCGCGTCGCTCATATTGTCCACTTGGTCAGCCAAGTTGCAGAACGCGCTGGTGTAGTCTTGGACCGAAGTCAGCTGCTTCCAGGCACGCAGCTTCATGCGGGCAGAATCTGAGGCGGAGATGTGCTCGAACCTGGCTCGCAAGGCGGCGCCCCACTCCTTCCATGTGCGTATCGTGGCCGTTCCGAAAATTGAAGCTGCTCGTTGCGTAACAGGTGTCGAGGTCCCGTCGTTCGCACGTGTTGTCCCTGCCGAAGTCCCCTCGGTTTGAAGCGTGCGTCACCACCATTCCAACGCAGGTCCTCGTAACAGTGAAACTGCAAAATTAATACGGGTGGCATCGTCGTTAATCATCGCAGCATTAAAGAACAACTCCGCGCCAAACAACCATGCAGAAACAGTGACAAACTTGTCACTCGGGTTGAATGGTGGTGGGTTCGTCGGTTTGATCTTGACAGTTGTTGAGGCTGTCATAGTCGCTGGAGTTGTTGCTGCCGCTGATGTCGCTGGTGCACGTGTTGGCACTGCTTGCGACTATTGCTGTTGTGCCCGCCCTTCTTCTGCAGCATCCATGGAGCCTTCGAGCTCACTGAAGACGGCCTCGTTCGGCGTGGAGCTACTACTTGCTTCATCCACGATGGGCGACTCCTGGCGCGCTTCACCACGCGCCTGGTGTAGTTCGGCGTTTTCCTTCTTCAGGCGTTCGACCTCCTCAGACATCGTCTGCATGTTGGCCTGCATCGCCCGGAACTGTTGCATAAACTCGTTCAACTCCGCCTGGTCCATATTTCGCAGGCTTCGTCGGACGGGCAGGGGGTGGTTAGCGATTTTTATGACGTTTAGTGAAGGTAGTGAAGGCGCAAATGCTATCGTAGTCGGAGTGAAATAATCGTATCTATTTCACAGGCCGACCGCTTTGCAGCCCACTAAGTCTATCGCTCCCCTTACACAAACTACCACGGAAACGCGAGGGTAACCTAGGAAAGTAGCTCTGATACCAAGTGTTATGCGTTGTAATGAAGAAGAATGCGCAGGATTCAATAACTCGGAAGTGATAACAACTACTGACTGAATAATGAAGCCTAGCACTTATATAGCGAGAACTAGCTGGGCCGAGGTTGCAGGACCGCGAAAGGTCAGGAGCAGGTTCGGGGTTGGGAAGACTCGAAGGCGACGCGTTGATGGTTCGGCAGGCGAGGTCAGCGGACCGAGCCTGGAACTCCGAAAGTTGGGGCTGTACGCGTACAGTGTGACTCAGTAAGGAATTGGGAAAAATCCTTACAATAGCAGAGTCGTAAATCACTGATCTACACCATAAGTAACCACATACACTTGCTAATATTCTTCAGTCTTAATTCCATATGATTGAGCATTATGCGTGAGATAGAGAAGAAAATGCAATGAGTATAATACAAAACGACTGTAGAGGGTGGGATAAGGAAACGGACGGATATACCTAAGAGGATGGAAAAACAAACTAACAAAATAATTTTATTATGTACATAATGGTGATGCGTTTATCTTTAGTACGATATTCAGCTTCTACGCAACCCTTACGACGTTCATCGTCGAGCCTTGTTCATATATCAGTACAAAAGCAAGTCAGAAGCATTTTCGTTTGCACTAGACATTTCTGGGTTGCGTAGCAACCCTATTGTTATGAATGAACTTGCAGAGTGCGCAGAATAACGAATAACGAGAATGGTTGAATACTGAAAGTCGATACAATGAAAGTGACGAGGCCTAAATAGGGGAAAAGCTAGCTAGGCGGGGAGGTAGGGCGAGGATGGCTCGGTGATGGTTGCGATTGGTGCGGAGGCGACTCGGGAGTGGTTCGGTGCGACGAAATAGGCTTAACAGGTTTGTCGCGTGACCCTCGGGATGGCCTCGCTAACGAGTGCCTCAGTAAGGATCTGTAAATCCTTACACCTATACATTTGGTAACACTTGAAATTATGTACATTTCCTTCAGCACTGCACTCCACTACCTAATCTAGTACTCACGCTGATAAGCACGTATCAGTCATGTTACCCTAAAACTTAGAATAAGCTTTGATTCGAACCATATCACTCAAAAACCTTGGCCATTCCCGACCGTGTGGAGTCCGCTTCCTCTCCGTGTGCAATCTTTGGGCCCTTGAACCACCGGCGGGCATCAACAATCCACCATAGGAGGAAGAAGCTCACACAAATGGCAAGCCCGATGGGCGAATAGTTAAAGTTTGATGACGTTATAGGGTACTCCGTCGGAAGCATAAAGACGACCATAGTGTAGACCACATATAGCAGCGCCAAGATGTGTACGCACTTGCTGCATGGGGAGAGTTGCGTCGCATGGGAAGTGAGAAGAAAGATTTGAGTTTAGAAAGAATGGCGGAAGAAGCGCGAGTGTGATGATGGTGGGAGCAAATGGAAACCAGATCGGGAGGAGATTGCACTGTGACACTGTGGCACCATGGCAGTAGGAAAGAATTCCTTTGACTCGCTGCAGAACCACCCTTTTGAGAATTTTCAGAAGCGACACAAACATCCCCACCATGGCCATGCCCATGACCGCTCCCCCTCACCTAAACTCACCTCCGGTCTTGACAAAATAGTTTCTCAGGTAAAACGGCCCGGAGACAAAATCCCCATCATCCTGTAGAATCCGGAGGATGTGCACGCCGTACGCGCCGAACCAGTTTTGAGACGTCTCAAAACTAAATAGTTTCTCAGGTAAAACCGCCCGGGGACAAAATCCCCATCATCCTGCCAGATCCGGAGGAGGATGGGCACGCCGTACGCGCCGAACCACCCCATGGTGGCCGTGCTGGTGACGGCCCCTTTCCCTAAACCTCCTCATCTTCCCAAATTTTCCGTTGCGATTCTTTGTGTGGATCATAGAATGCCCCCCGGCGAACAGTCTGCTTCATCCAGGCAGAGACACGCCGACCACTCCCCCACTAAGCCTCACCTTCCGATCTTCCCAAAGTAGTTTCTCAAGTAAAACGGCCCGGGAACAAAGTCCCCATCGTCTTGCAGGATGCGGAAGAGGATCGGCACGCCGTACGCGCCGAACCACCCCACCGTGGCCATGCCGGTGACGGCAAAGTACGCAGCGCTGCCGCCCAGCAGCGGCAGCAGCGCCACGATGGCGATGCCCACGGTGCACATGAGCGCGTTCACGGGCACCTTGCGCTTGTTGATGCGCCGCCACAGGAAGGAAAAAGGTAGGCCCTTGTCTCGCGCTAGCGCGTAGCCCTGGGTGTGGGGTGAGGGGGAAGCAGGGAGGGAGAGGTGAGTGGGATGGAGATGGCGATGCCCACGGTGCACATGAGCGCGTTCACGGGCACCTTGCGCTTGTTGATGCGCCGCCAGAGAAAGGAGAAAGGTAGACCTTTGTCGCGTGCTAGCGCGTAGCCCTGGGTGTGGGGGGTGTGGGGGGTGTGGGGGGTAGGGGAGAGGTGGAGTATGAGGGGGGTTTGATGGAAGGGTGGGTGTGAAGACTAAGACTGTGGGGCGTGGTGCAGCGACAATGGGGGTGATGTGACCACACTAAGACTGGACATTCCTGTGGGTTACCACATGGGTTACTGAAATGGGTTACCACATGGGTTACTGAAATGGGTTACCACATGGGTTACTGAAATGGTACCATGGGTTACTGAAATGGGTTACCACATGGGTTACTGAAATGGGTTACCACATGGGTTACTGAAATGGGTTACCACATGGGTTACTGAAATGGGTTGCCACATGGGTTACTGAAATGGGTTACCGCATGGGTGCATGGGTTACCGCATGGGTGCATGGGTTATCGCATGGGTTACCACATGGGTTACTGAAATGGGTGGTAGCATGGGTTAACCCACGGGTTACCACATGGGTGCATGGGTTATCACATGGGTGCATGGGTTACCACATGGGTTACCACATGGGTGCATGGGTTACCACATGGGTGCATGGGTTACCACATGGGTGCATGGGTTACCGCATGGGTTCCTGCATGAGTTCCTGCATGAGTTACGGCATGGTTTACCGTATGGGTTATCGCATGGGTTACCACATGGGTTGCTGCATGGGTTGCTGCATGGGATGCCGCATGGGTTACATACCTCAAAGACAAGAAGATACAACGTACCACACGACAGGCCGCGAAGACGAGAGTGATGGTGCAGAAGAAGAAGGAGGAGAAGAAGAGGCAGATGAAGACATACACCCCTGCTGTGCTGCCGTACCTGTTGAATGGATACAAGGGAGGGGAAGGAAAGGAGGGGAGCCTTCAGGGGAAGAGGCAGATGAAGACATACACCCCTGCTGTGCTGCCGTACCTGGTGGATGCATAGAGTGGGAAGGGAGAGGGGAGGATGGGGGAAAGGGGGGGAAGATGGGGAGAGAGGAAGAGGAAAGAGAGGGATGGCGAAGGAGAAGAAGAGGCAGATGAAGACATACACCCCTGCTGTGCTGCCGTATCTGGTAGATCGATCATATGGGGTGTGAAGGGAGGGATGGGAATGTGTCGAGAAAAAGAGAGAGAAAGAACAAACAAGGAGGCGATTTCTGAGTCGACTCTAAGGGCCGTACTCCTCTGCACCTACGTCTCTAAGGGCCGTACTCCTCTGCACCTACTGAATCGACTCTAAGGGCTGCGGTGCGGTACGGTGCAGAGCAGTGCGGTGCGTCTCACCTCCCATTGAAGATGGTCCAGAGGATCTGAATCACCGGCTTTCCTCACAATGTGTCCTGCTTGTCCAACAGAGCAGTGCTGCGGTGCGGTGCAGTGCAGAGCGGTGCAGTGAGGTGCTGCTCACCTCCCAGAGAAGATGGTCCAGAGGATCTGAATCACCGGCTTGCCTCCCAATGAATTCTCCTCAGTGCATTACAGCTCGCCTCCTGCAAGCTGCAGCGCGCTAGAGTGCGGTGCTGAGCGGTGCTCTGTGTCTCACCTCCCATTGAAGATGGTCCAGAGGATCTGAATCACCGGCTTGCCTCCCGCAGCGTTCTGCTCATCCAGCAGAGTGGCTTCGTCCTGAATGCAGAACGTGAGCACCACCACCACCGCCCACTCCAGAAACGACACCAGCGTCAGCGCCCCCACCATGGCAATGGGGGTTGTTACGTCGGATCGCTTGGCCTCCTCTGATGCATGGGCTCCGGTGTCGAATGAATAGAGTGCGTATTGAGACATGAGCAGCCCCACTAGCACGGCATAGCCCTGAGGGGGAGAGGGGGCGAGAGGAGAGGGAGAGGAGGCGATAGGGGTGGTCACATCGGACCGCTTGGCTTCTTCTGAGGCGTGGGCGCAGGTGTCGAATGAGTAGAGGGCGTATTGAGACATCAAGAGACCCACTAGCACCACGTAGCCCTGGGGAGACCGAGGGAGGGGAGCGGGAGGGGGGGGGGGGGTGTGTAGGAGAGGCGGTGTTGAGACCTAGATGGCCGAGGACGTGTAGAGTGCACACTGCAGCATGAGCACACACACCAGTAATCCTCAAGGCACTCTCGTTGCTGGGTAGATTGGTGTTGGCGGTGCTAAAATGACTTGTGAGTCAAGTAAGCTCAAGGGTGCCGAATCACACAATCTACATGGCCAAGTAAGCTCAAGGGTGCCGAATCTCACAATCTATATGGCCAAGTAAGCTCAAGGGACAAGCGACTCACGTTGCTGGGCACGTTGGTGTTGGCGGTGCTGAACTCCAAATGGCCGAACACCCGAGGGATAGAGATAAGGTAAGGGACTCACCTTGCGGCACACTGCACAGCCAGCAGTGCTCTAGGAACTCACGTTGCTGGCAAGATTGGTATTGGCTGTGTTGAAATCCAGATGGCCCAAGGAGTAGAGTGAGGAATGCGGCAAGAGCAGCCGCACCAGCACAGCCAGCTCTCCTCAATGGACTCTCATTGACGACTTCTGAGGCGCTTCACAGGGACTCACATTGCTGGGCATGTTGGTATTGGCGGTGCTGAAATCGAGATGGCCGAAGACCCACCACGCTGGCTGCAGTGTTGGTGCGACGAGAGGCAGCGTGATTATGGTTATCACACCCGCTAGCACCTGGTGCGTGGGGGGCAAAAAGGGAGTAAAGGGAAGGAAAGGGAAGGAGAAGGAAGAAGGAAAGCAATGGCTCACGAGGCTGGTTGCAGTGTTGGCGCGACGAGAGGCAGCGTGATTATGGTGATTTTTCCTGCTAGTACCTGGTGGGTGGGGGGATGAGAGGGGTAGGGGTAGAAGAGGGATTGCAGTGTTGGCGCGACAGACGAGAGGCAGCGTGATTATGGTTATCACACCTGCTAGCACCTGGTGCGTGGGGGATTGAGGGGAAGTGTAGGGGAGGGGAGAGCGATAGAGCTGTGAGGCTGGTTGTATCATCAAGGCCATGCGTGGAAGGCAGAATGAAATGAAATACGATGACAGTCATAGGGGGGTTGGAGGGGTGAGAGGAATGGAAGGGTACATTACAGCACCCAGCAGCACATCCCAGTAGATACAAATGCACCCCAACCCATCCCATCTCATCCCACCCCACCGCACTGGACCACACCCCATCCCACCCCACCGCACCCCACCTGGATGATCATGCCAACGAGCAGCACGCAGCCGATGACGGTTCCAATACACCGCACCCCACCCCACCTCGCCCCACCTCGCCCCACCTCGCCCCACCTCGCCCCATCTCGTCCCACCTCGCCCCACCTCGCCCCATCTCGCCCCATCTCGCCCCATCTCGCCCCATCTCGCCCCATCACACCCCACTGCACCTGGATGATCACGCCCACTAGCAGCACTCTGCCAACGCCATTTCTAATGGGAAGCAGGTTCACGAGCGCACACACGAGCACAATGAACACACAGCAGGCAGCGATGCTGATGTTGACAGTGCCAAAACACCGCACCCCACCGCACTGCACAGCACCCCACCTGGATAAGTACCCTCAGCACCGCACTGCACCTGGATGATCATGCCGACCAGCAGCACGCGCCGACCATCTTGATGGGAAGTAGATTGATGAGCGCGCACACGAGCACAATGAACACACAGCAGGCGAACTGCACTGGCTCTGACATCATGTATCCACCACCATTGGCACCACCTGTGGTACCAGTGAATACGAGGGGATAGAAGGGGGTACACGGGGGTACAAGGGGATAAAAGGACAAGGAATTACATCGGGCCAAGAGGCAGGCAGAGTAACAAGCACAGACCATACAAGCACGATGAACACACAGCAAGCTCACTGCAGTGGCTCCAGCAACATGTACCCGCCACCGTTGGCGCCGCCTGCAACGCAAGGAGTGGGAGGCGATCCAAAGGGATACACGGGGGTACAAGGCGGTGCAATGGGGTACACGGGGAGAAAGAGACAGGTTGATGAGCGCACACACTAGCACGATGAACACGCAGCAGGCGAGTTGCACTGGCTCTGGCATGGGTGTACCCGCCACCGTTGGCGCCACCTGGAGTAGCAGAGAGAGATGGGGGGTGTTGCAAGGGGATAGAAGGGGATAAACAGGGGCACACGGGGAAACACGTTGGTATCTGGGGGTACAAGGGGATACAAAGGGGGAAAGCCCAGCAAGGTGGCTTCTGAGTCGACAGGGGCAACGGCAGTAGGCAAGGCATGGCAGGCAAGGTCAGCAGGCTCCCCTGAGGCCAGCCAACCGAGTGATATGGGCTCCACTCGATATTGTACTGCACCACATCACACTGCATCACACCACAGTCCACCATTGCACCCTGCAATCCAATGCACCGGACTGCACCGCACTGCACCTGTAGCGAGAAGAATTAGGTCGCTAAGGAGCAGCACCCCTCCCAGCGCCACGCCTCCCGAGCCGATGGACGCCCCGAGAAATTCCAGCCAGCCCTGGGGGTAACGGGGAGCAGGGAGAGGAGGAGAAAGGCAACACAGCGCCACACATTGCAATGGGTTGATCACTGCGGTCCCCTCCCAGTGCCACCCCTCCCAGTGCCACCCCTCCCAGCGCCACCCCTCCCAGTGCCACCCCTCCCAGCGCCACGCCTCCCGAGCCCAATAGACGCCCCGAGAAACTCCAGCCAGCCCTGCAACGGGTAAAGGCAAGAGTGCAGAGGAGAACGGCAGCACATGCTGGCATGTTAGCGTGCGTGTGGTGTCCTGGGGTAAGAGAAACGAGCAGAGGAGAAAGGCAACACAGCGCCACACAGGGCAATGGGTTGATCCATTGCAGTCCCCTCCCAGCGCCACGCCTCCCGAGCCAATAGACGCCCCGAGAAACTCCAGCCAGCCCTGCAACGGGTAAAGGCAAGAGTGCAGAGGAGAACGGCAGCACATGCTGGCATGTTAGCGTGCGTGTGGTGTCCTGGGGTAAGAGAAACGAGCAGAGGAGAAAGGCAACACAGCGCCACACAGGGCAATTGGTTGATCCATTGCAGTCCCCTCCCAGCGCCACACCTCCCAAGCCAATAAACGCCCCGAGAAATTCCAACCAGCCCTGCAACGGGTAAAGGCACGAGGGCAGAGGAGAAAGGCAACACTCGGGCCGAACTTTGAGGTCTCCTCCCTCCCAGCACCACGCCTCCCTCCCAGCACCACGCCTCCCAAGCCAATCGACACCCCGAGAGATTCCAACCAACCTTGCAACGGGTAAGAGGAGCGGGGAGAGGAGAAAGGCAAGACATGGGGGGAGGGGAGAGCATGGCAGCAACCAGCTGTAGGATGCTCCGTGGAACTCCAACCAGTCATCCCTGGGAGCGAGAGGCGCAGGGAGGAGTAAACATTGGGGAGCATGGAGGAGCAGGGAGGGGCAGGGAGGGGAAGGGAGGCAGAGGGGGATGGGCAGGGAAGGGCGATGTGTGAGTTTTCAAGACATTTATTTACTTGGGTGCAAGTTATGCGCACCTGCCTAACTGTGGGAATGTGGAGGGGCTAAGTGCCTGCACTTAGCAAACAGGAAGCAAAACGATTGTGAACACAGGCAACACTTGGCGGGCACTTGATGAACACTTAGCACGCACTTAGCATACATAAAAAATAAAAACTTGGCGAGCCGTTAGTGTAGCGGGGAGCACTTACTGTTATCCAGGCAGCGAGCGGGCGATGCTTCGGCTTGGCTAGTGCTGCCGCCCAGAAGTAAAGTGAACCAGCAGTCTGGACAAGGGATGCGGAGGGAATTGAGTGGGAGGATAGGGGAGAGGAGGGGACGAGAGGAGAGGAGAGGAAAAAGGAGAGGAGAGGAGAGGAGAGAGGAGAGGAGAGGAGAGGAGAGGAGATGGGTGATGATGAGAGCAGTAGTTCGAAAAAGCGGTTTTTGAATTGAGTTACATTGGCACAGGAGGAACCTAAGAGTGAGAAGTGAAGAAATGAGAGAGGAAGACGACGAGGGGAGAGTGAGAAGGGAAGAGAGGGCGAGGAAGCCTGGATGGGGGAGGGGGAGGTGGGTGCGGGCGGAAAGGGACTAAAATTACAGGAAGAGAAGGGAACAAAAGAGAGGAAAAGGAAGGCCAATGTAAGAAAGCGGGAGACTGCAATGCTGTGGGCGAGCAAGGGAGGAGCAGGATCCTTAAAGCCTTGACTCGTGCGACTCACGGGGAAGGAGGAAGCGATGATCCAGAGAGGGCGATGCAGCAGGCGAGCATGGGGCAAGCCTTAAAGCCCTACTCGTGCGACTCACGGGGAAGGACGAGGCGATTTCAGCGAGTGAGAGAGCAATGCAGTGGGCGAAGAAAGCGGTAATCCACCAGAACCACACGGCCATCACCGGGCCGCCACTCGCAAAGGCGTAGCTGGTGGTGGGGTAAAAGGGCAAGGGGAGGAAGAGTGGGTGTTGCAGCAGGTGGGTAGGAGGGCAAGAGAGGGTGAAGAAGGCAGTTATCCACCAGAACCACACGGCCATGACCGGGCCTCCACTCGCAAAAGCGTAGCTGGTGGGACAGAGGGGGGAAACGGAGGACGAGAGAATGATATGGGAGGCAGGCATGAGAGAGTGCAATGCAATGCAGTGGCCGAAGAAGGCAGTGATCCACCAGAACCACACGGCCATGACCGGGCCTCCACTCGAAAAGGCGTAACTGGTGGTGTGAGTGGGGAGGGGAGGATGGAGAGGTTGCTATGGGAGACAGGTATGAGAGAGCAAGAGAGGGCGAAGAAGGCAGTGATCCACCAGAACCACACGGCCATGACTGGACCACCGCTTGCAAATGCGTAGCTGGTGGTGTGAGGGGGACGGGTGGGAGAGAGGTTGCTATGGGAGACAGGTATATGAGAGAGAGCGATGCAGTGGGGGAAGAGAGGGCAGTGATAGCAAGGTTCAAAATTACGGTTTTCGTAAAATACGGTCCGTTTTATACGGTCGTTTTTTACGGTGATTTTTCAAAAAAACGGTCGTTTTTTTGTTAGAGAACTCTGTTCACCAAAAAAAAAAGAGAAAAACAAGGCCAAAAACATTTTCAATCATGCCAACAAGCGCATACATGCAAGAAGGGGTCCGTCCCCTTCATGCTGCTGCATTTCGGGTTCAATTTGGTCCCACTAAGTGGCCGTTTTGTTAGTTAAACAGGAAACACCTCCTGGAACCGTTTTAAACCGTTTTTTACGACCGTATTTTACGATACCGTTTTTTACGGTAAATTTTCAAAAAAACGGTCGTTTTTTTTAACCTTGAGTGATAGAGCAGACGCAGAAGCAGACCGGACGAAGAAGGCATTACTGCACCGCCACTCGCAAAGGCGTAGCTGGTGGGGGGTTGAGGAGAGGACGGGATTGTGTTCCAAAGAGTCGGCATGCGCGCAAGCAAGGACAACCGGTGATCCAGCAGAATCAGACGGCCATTACTGGACCGCCGCTCGCAAAGGCGTAATTGATGGGGGTTGGGGAGAGGAAACAAGGAAGAATGCGGCCACATCAATCCCCAACCCAGCTCCGAGATCACCACTCACTCGTTGTACGTCGTACGGGATAACTCCGCAAACGACCCCCATACCGTTACAAGACAGATTTGAGCCGATTCGATAAGAGAAAGCAGCACTCACTCGTAGTACGGGATAACCCCGAGGAAGACCCCCACTCCCGTTAGCGACACGGCGAAGAGCTCGAAGGCGTTCTGATTGGTGGAGGGGAAACAGGGGGGAGGAGGGATGAGCGAAGGCGCATTCGGTTTGGAGGCAACTCGAATCGCCTCAAAGGGCATTACTCGCAGACGAGAGATCGACAGGGGAGTGGGACGGAGATGCGCGAAGCGAAGAGAGGATGAGAGCAGAGGCAGCGACAGAATTGTGCGTGTGATCTTTTTCTTCATAACTATCAGGTGACCCCAGTCCGGCTTGAAGGAGTCCGACAGAAGTCATGCGAAGATGCAAAACGGGACGGCTTTAAGTCGACTCCAGCAGTGGTGTTAATCCACTGCTGTCCAGCAGTCGAGCAGAGACAGGCTGTTCCGAAGCCCCGCTACAGTCACGTAAACGGACGGCCTTTAAGTCGAGACCACCTGGCAGGGGTCCTAGTCCAGCGAGCAGAGAGGGAATGCAGGCGACTACTCAACGACCCCGGCACATGGTCGCGCATACTCTCACAACGTCGCACACTGTCGCACATGGTCTCGCATGAATCGTCGCACGCACGCACCAGATCGCGTTGCAGGTCCTGTTTGTACCCTAGCTCGTTGAGCCGCTTCTCCCCGGAATCGAGCTCCACCGTTAGTAGCACACCGTCGTCAAGCATAATCTCCATCGTCTTCGCGCCGCCCTGCCCCCCTCCGCCATCCCCGCCGTCATTCGCGCCGTTGGGTGTGTTTTCCACTAGCGCGACAACCGCGGCGCCTTCGAAGGCGCACGCCTCGCGGAAGAGCTCGTCGTTTTCCGCGACTGGTGGCTCGACTGCCGTGTTCTCCTCGACCGTCCAATCGCCATCGTCCGCCATTCGCGGCGGAAATGCAGGGGAAACTAGGCAGTAAAACGGAAATGTGGGATGTCGTGACGCGACGGCCTAGAGCCTGGAATAATAACTCCGTATTCTGATTCTCTAACGATCGCTGTGGTAATTGATACCCGTCGTGCTAATTCGTGACGCTTGGACACTACAGCGCGGCGCACGATGATGTTTCGATTGCGCTAGGACCATCAAGGAGCTAGTTAATGGCGGGCGCTGAAAGCACGCGCTTTCCCATCATTAGCTCCACTCATTGAAGAAGAGATTCCTGCCTGAACCATATCTCTAGCTCGTGTATCTCATCATCTTCAGGCGAGAAAATTGCTATTTTTGTCTCAACTCCACTGAGGACGAGCACTACACTGGCAGTGGCTTGGAATGACGAAGGTTGTCTGTGAAGTGATGAGAAGGAGCCACAAAGGGAGTTGGGGGCGGGGGGAGGGAGGGGAGGGGTACCCCTGAATTGAACTCTCAAACGAGAGCGCCTGAACTTGTACTTCTTCCAGATAAACGACGTTACGTGGATATATTTTTGTGGGTGCTGTTGGGGTCATTCGATTTCCTCAACCCCCTGTGTGACCCGAGGACCAAATTCAACTTGCACCTGCCTACATCCCGACACTTACTATTTTGAGTTCCACAACGAAATACCTGGCTCTCTGGAGTTTAGTATTGCAACCACTATTTCAGCCTATACAGTATTTGGGATCACCAAGAGACCCGTTTTCGCTCACTCCCATCCACCGGGATACTGTACTGCATCCGCCCTCGCGAGTTTTGTGAACGGGACCCAACACACGGCGAGAAGGATGTACAGTATATTGTCCATTTCAGCTGCAGTGTGCCCCCCCAAACACCAGACCGGAGTGCACTTGTCCAAGGCAGCGGTCTGATGGCTTTTGGTGTTTTGGTTTGGTTTGGTTTGGTTTGGAGGCAGAGAACTCGTATGGCGGGCCGCTAGGTGTGGTTCGTTTCGGAACAACAAAGATTTGCGAGCCCAGTAGCACTCATTTGGGAAGCGTTGGGGGAAAGAGGCCGGCGCGACGGCTGGTTTCCGGAATGCACAACTCCGCGCGAAGCCGTCGCGACGACAACTTTGCGCAACTCCCCAGACGTGCAACGATAGGGGGAGGACGTGCAGGTGGGGAGGTGGGTGACATGACGACGAGGGTGGGGGAGAGGTTAGGGCGGATGCATTTGGCGGGGAGGAGCTCTCTCATACGAAGGATATAGTGCGGTTCGGTCTGGTGCGCAAAGGTTGCATTCGGGAGCATTTTGGGGGATGGGTGAATTTGAGAAGACTGTCGTCTTCAGAAATAAAAAAACATAGAGACAGCAGCACATCCGTCCGTCCCATTCCCAACCGCCCTTTCCCGCCAAACGTGGGTGGTGTGGGTGCACGCACCTCCTCTTCCGTCCACTGGTTTATAATAAATGCGACCCAGCAAAATGATGCAGTGTGAGGGGCTTGTTTCCACAGAACCAAGCGCAGGGAACGCGCAATATACGCCACACACTTAGCCCTGGGTCCAACCAAACCCCACCAGTCATGCATTTCGCCAAGGCTTGTCAAACAAAAGTTTTTAAGTGGAAGGGAAAGGAGTCTCAGCGTTGCACCATGAAGCACAACTTCCGAGGGTCAAACTCCCTCTGTCATACAGCCCATAAAAATACATACAGTTGTTACTGTTATGTCCAATAGTTGAGCCAGGCACATGAACGACCAGTAGAATGGGGCCATTTCAGCCTACTCGCACCACTCGCGACTGTCCTAGAAACGAACAGAACATCCTAAAGGCACTGCACCAAGTACACCTAAATACACATTCTGACGTTTATTGTAAATCACATGTCAGCAGGTATTATACATTCCCTGCTGGTGTAATCACATGAGACTGTCTTAAGATGCCTGGAAGATGGGTACGTAATCTTCTAAGGGATATGACGCGCTATGAACAAGTACCGTAGTTGCTGTAATCAGATATTCAGATGGTAAATGCCTACTACTCACTGTTAGTGGAAGCTCTATCACATATGAGTGCCACTGCTGCATTGGCGGATGAAAAGGGTCCATGAAAGCTCTCCTTGAATGAGAAGCTCTCCAAGTCATAAACCATCTGTTGTCACACACCACAGAAACATGGAAGTGGTTTTTCTAACCAATAAAGAGAAAACCGCATTGGAATAATAAGCGTGGGAACGTCTAGACTGGCACATCCAATAAGTTCTCATTGACTTTGCGGGAAGCTGCATTACCTGCATAAGAATCTGTGCAATCTCCAGTTCTTGATTCAGCAAACAGCGGTAGTAGACCTGTGAGGATGGGGAATGGAGAGATATGGCTGATGGAAGCAAAGCAAAAGCTGATTCCACTGCTGGGAAAAATCCGTTTTGCCCTCCTATGCAAGATGCGTAACAGTCACAGCGATGATAAATTCACGCTGGCCCGTTTTTCTGTTTAATCTCCTCATGCGGTTTCTGGGTTGTCGTGGCAATGTTAGCTTACTGGGCAGTTTCCTCCAAAGTACGATTTCTTGCGGACGCGTGAATGCTCTAATTGGTACACCAACCCACACTGTCACGACCAGGTTCCACCTACCTTGGCGCATCGCTCGCTCATTCCGACATTGGCGGGCTTCGGACAGTAATACTCGTTGTCCAGCCACGCCTTTAGGTGACTTTTGAGTTGACTAGAAAGTCACCTCTTCGCCTACCTTTGCGCATCGCTCGCTGATACCGAAGTTGGCGGGCTCCGGACAATACTCGTTGTCCAGCCACGCCTTTAGGTTCTCCCTCAGCCATTCAGCCTCCTGCACAGCCGGGACCGGGATGAGCAGCGTTGGGGATCTCAGCGGTAGGAGAGGAGATTATACATCAAGAGTGGGGGAATGTGCAGAGGAAATAAAAAGACATCGAGCGAGACAATTTGCACGATTTGAAAGGAGCGACATTGCGCTTACTTGTTTTGCGATTTCCGGACTCGTCCACGTGGCAGGGACCTGGAGATCATCCACGCCGCTGGCAGCTCGGACAGAACGGCGGCCAGAATTTCTAGGCAAAACAGGCGAAACGGCGGGTCTGCTGGTTCGAGTGGCGGTTCGCGGCGAAGAAACAGAA